CCAGTAGTGTGGATCAAAGTAGTACCTATGAACACCCTAACTACCCAGAGTCATTTCTGAAAAATTAAACATGCTATGTTTGCTTGCACGCTGATTGGGGCACTCTGGTTGCTGATAGCAATCAGTATGAACTTCCCTACTGCTGATGTAATGATGATGAATGCTGTGACACTGCTATTTCAGACAGCTCTTCTCAGCGGATGCAAACCACTTGTTAATGAATTGAATACAACTATAGCAGCATCAAGTAAAACAGGGAAAGGTTTTACTTGTTTCTTTTTTATTTTTTAAATGCAACATGTTAAAAGGTACTCCTCAAAAAATTAAAGCAAAGAAAAGCAGAAGGTTTAAGTTCGCAAGAAACATAAACCAATCTTAACATGTAAATTGAGAATTTTAAATGCTTACACTTCAGCACTTTGACCAAAGCAAGCAGTCTTGTTGAAGTCAGTGAGCCTATTCCTAGCAATAAATATCTGATCTTTAAAATTAATGTATGCAGTATAAGTAAAGTGACTTGAAAAGTAGTTCAGAGAAGAGAAGTGATACAGAGTGAAGATTTCTTGGAGAATTGAAATGTTTGTTCAGAAAGGGTCAAGTTTCTTGTTCTTCCAAGCATAGGGCTGCTCCACTGGTTTTGGTTAGTTTGGACTGTGAGTAAATGAACAAAGAGATGTGGTGAGTTTTTTCTTCCCCAGCATATTAATATAATAATTTTTACTACTATAAGGCACAATTTTATAACCAACATACATAAGGACCAGAAATTACATAATATTAACTTACTTGAAAGAATTTTATTGTTTTAAATAAGTTTCCAACATATTGTCATTTATTGACACTCCTTTTAAAAGAGACAATTTTCCTCATTTAATTAGTTCATTCCAGTAGCATGTTCCTAAAATTCTTCCAATATAATATGCAACTGGGGAAGGTTTGCATTTATATTTTAAAAAGAGGAGACACACCTGCAGGCAGGTTACTGTTTTGAGAGGGATTAGGTTTAAAATGGGGATCTGGAATTAATTGTGGAGTGGGTTCAGGCTTCAGGGAAATTACAAAAGGTTCAAGCATGGTTGAATGGGAAAAAGCCACAAATGTTTGCTTTGGGGAAGGAATGTTTATCCCTCTATTTACCTATGGAAGTTCAGGCTTTTGCCCATATACTGTTATAGCATTTTCTTGCCTTTCATATGCACATGGAAATGCTGGATAACCAATGAAACTCGCTTTCAGGTTTTTTGAAAGTGGAACTCCTTGCTGTGAATAGATACAGATTGTCTCAGGCCTGGAGGCTGGAACAGGAAAGTCACTGACCCACACGCTGGAGAGAGAGAGACACATACACCCTAATATAAACCACTTTGTGTTTTAGTGTGGAGATGATGCCAGGCTGTCTGATTTTTAGAATGCTTTTTGAAAGGGGTTAACAACCAGTAGAAAGAAATCTTTACATAACCTTGGACTTTTTTTTTGGTGAACTGCAGCTCCCATATTTTGGTACAGTTTCTCAGAGAAAATAAAAATCAACCAAATTTAAGGAGAATGATTCTAGAAGATGTGTGTCTGGCTTGTGTTTTCAACTTAGTCTTAAGGTAGTCTTCAGGAAAAAAAAAGATTTTTGGGGCACCACATTGATGGAGATGTGATGTCTGCTTCCCTGAGGGGTATGCTTGGCAAAGCATAACAAGCCACATCCCTCTAATTATTAGTCCTGCCATCTCTTCTGGCCTTCCATGCCTTCCCAACCATGCACACCACCGCTGATGCACCACTGAGGCTTTGCTGGATCTGCAGGAATTCTTGCAGGTGTCTGTGCCACATGTTTGTGTGTGTGTGTGTGTGTGTGTGTGTGCAGGCTGGGAGCAGAGGAAGGAAGGCACAGGAGGAAAGGCCTGCAGCCCCAGGGCCGTTGGCTCGTGGTGCAGGGTGCAGAGCTGAGTAAGAAAGTTTACTCTTGTGGTGTTCCCTCTTTCATTGTGACATGAATAAAAGCAGCCTTCTAATGTAAACTGAGTAGACATGAACCAGAACAGATGAACCAAGAGCAGATGTTTATATTACGTCTTGGCCAGTTCTGCAATTTTCTGTCCAAAAATTTAAGTGCTGCTTTAGGCCTCTGTTCTGTACTGCGGTCCACACCAGGTAGCATAAAAGTGATAGAGACTGATGAAGAATGTGGAATTCTGTCTGCTATTCTTTCTTCCAGTAAAGAAGATCACCCCAAAGCACCAAAAAAATCTCATTGGCAGGCTGTTGGGGAAAGAAATAAAATAGTCAAGAGAATGAATGGTGTCAGTCTGACCAGCCACATGTTGCTCTTGAATTGCAGATGACCCAAAGATGCTTTTTATGAGGTTAAGGCCATGGCAAGTCCTTAAAGTACCTGCATTACCTTCCTTTTCTGAGAAGTGTTAGGATCAGTTTGTACTGGAGGTACTGCCATGATGGAGAGGGGAAGGTGGTGGAGATAAGTGAGGAGGTGGGGATAAGTGAAGGCTCCTTGCACATACCTGCATAGACATCTGTATGGCAGGAGGCAGTGGAACCACTTTAGATGCCTGTCATCATTTTTGTGATCTCTTCCCAAATGTTTCATGCCACTCTGCCAGCCTTGTGGAGGCAGAGTATGTGACTTCTTCCTTTCTAGTTGAATAGGGAGTATAATTGCTTCCTTTCATGGTTTTAAGTCAAAATCAACATGCTTGTGAACCAAGGACCAAACAAAACGGGGGATGAGTTCTGCAGCTTTATCTTGCAAGTTTTCAAAGTCATATTCTTTGGTGTAAATGAAGATGCCACCTCAATAGCAGTCTTGGTCCTTAGATGGCAATGGAAGAAAAACAAACACAACTGAAGATGTATAGCATTTTAGTTCCTTCAGAGATGCATAGAAAATAATTAATTTGAGAGAATGGTTGTTAGTCAGAAGATAGGAGGGTACATTGAGGGACTCTCTCATGCAGTAGTTGGAAGCTGAGTAGAGGCAGGTTTTGGTGTTTATGTGGCCAGGGCTGTATAGAGAAAACAAACATCTTTCTCTCAGTGTGGGGTGAGCAACTTGGCAGTGTCAGCCTTCCCGATCTCTACTAATGCAAGAGACTGAAAAGCTAGATATTCAAGCTAAATGACTAAACTGGGGATGCCCTCGCATGAGGTGTGCAAAGGGGAAGAGGAAGAAGTCATAAGAAAAGTTTGGAAAGGTGCTGTTTACAAAGCTCACTTGAGATCTCTCTTCAAGGAGCCTTGTGCATGGCTGGGTAGAAGTCAGGGTTGTTGCAAGTTGAGTACTGTTAGATCTCTCCTACTCTCTGCTTGAAGACACCTGACATTCCCCTTAGTGTTTTGGTAGGAAGTTGTTTCACAGATCACAATAATATTTATAGCACTTTCACAGATAGATCTTGAGAGTAGTCTTACAAGTCCTCTTCTCTGGCAGGCAGAGCTTTGTTATTCCTGTTTTTAGCAAGCAAGAAACTGAAGGGAAGAAGAATGCCTTGCGAAAGCTTAGACAGTAGGTCAGTGGCAGAGAGTCTCTGGTATCTAGCACAGTTCCTTGGCTGTGCTGCCTGGCTAAATAATGATTCATTTAGAGATTGGGCTCTACTTTGATCCCTACTGTATAACAATGAGGCTTTGGAGTGTTTTATTGTACTATTAAAAAGAACTCCTACTAAGAAGGTGGGAAGGGGAAGGTTTATTAGACAGCTGTGTTTGTGATGAATTGGCTTTGTAGCCTTTTTTTTTTTTTTTTTTTTTTTTGGTGTTGTTTCTTCTTGTTTTTTTTTTGACTGTCAGAATTTGGGAAATAGGTTGCTAATATAATTACACTTCATTACACTTTGTGGCTTTTTGAAGCCTTTTGAAAATTTTATTTAAATGGTGACCTAGAAGAGTGTGACTTCCCTCCATTTTAGACCCATTTGACTACCAAGCAGCGTTGCCCAGAGCAGAAAACTAATTATTATTTTTGTTGTTGCATAGATTCATATTCAAACTATAAAAGTACCAAGCTATTTGGTTCTAAGCATGGTGTGTGCTGAATATTGATGATTTACATAAAGCTAACTTGGACAGACAGGTGTGCATTAAGTTAAGCTGCAGACTGGCTCTTGATGTTTGCATCCTTCACAGCCTAAGATCCCTGCAGTCTTGGGGCCTGGTGTGCCTGCACTGCTGCACAAGCAGTGATACCCTTTTGCAAGTTTTTGGGCTTCTCATATTTCCATCAGGAATGTAAAATATCTGAGAAGAGGGAGAAATTATTTGCGGGGTATTAAATGAATGTATCACTGGAGATGACACTGAGAACATCCAGGAAAGGCAAAATAACCAGATACACACCTCTACAGAGCTTTCTATTTCCAGCGTTTTCATGCATAAGAAAGTGATCTCATTATCTGCCACCAGCAATAATGTTTGTCTTTCCCTGTGGTTTTTGGGGTGTTTTGCCAATACAATTTTGTTTGAGTTAGATTTCTGAACAAACAAAGTGAGAGATGTTTACATGAGTAACAAGGTGTAGAGATAGACAGGATAATTCCTGAGGCAGTGTGTTCCAACACCCTGAATGTTGAAATTTAAATATTTGGCTTCTAGAGTCAACATGAAGGTCTGTCTTGATTTTCTTGATTTTTTTTTTCCTTTTTTGCCTTGTTCCAAAGTGCCCTGGGCAGAAGAGAAAAATACTGTCCTTTTTTCTCTTTGGATCCATTAAAACCCCACAAAATTGAAAAAAAATGGACCTACCTATGCTGTTTGAACAGCATAGTGGTTTGTGATGCTGATTCTCTTTAAAGGCAAACATGCCTAAGTTTTGGTGTTAGTATTTCTTTAAATTCCTTAGGAATTCATGCATGCAAACATGATTTGATGAGCTTACAGAACTGTGAACTGCTAATTCAGTTGTGCTCCAGGCTCTTCTTCAGGTGAGAGGGGTGAGAAGACTTGGGCTAAGCTTTCAAACAGTCTTTAGAGTTTATGACTCTTGTTTCATTCAGGTATTAGTGCAAGGAGAGCTGAAGTAATGAGAAGTCATCATGGAGGCGCAGTCCCATAGCTCTGCCACAACTGAGAAGAAAAAAGTGGAGAATTCCATCGTGAAATGCTCCAGTCGAACAGATGTCAGTGAGAAAGCTGTTGCCTCCAGCACAACTTCCAATGGTGAGTAACAGCAGGGATTTACTAGCAGCCAAACCTACAGTAATTTTATGTTCTCTGCATTCCTTGTGAATTGAGCATTTGCACCTGGATCAGTGTTTGTTCTACAGAAAGGCTAAAGAAAAGGAACGGAGGAGGGGTGGTGGTGTGGAAAGTGGTAGGATACAATAAGGCCTGTTTTGGCGTCAGGCATAGTCTCTTTCTTCCAGATGTTCTAATTTGAGATGTAAATGTGCTAAGTTATTTATTATAGGAACTTCCTGGTTTTGGCGTTTTGGAAATTGTCTTGATTAGCCTGGCAGGGCCTGCAAGTGCTTTGCATTTGGCCATTAAAATCTCTTACACTAGTTAGGTAATCAGTTATTACTATAGAGACAGAAGTAGCTCTGTCAGAATTAATGGCAAAGGGTTTTTTTTTTTCTTTTTCTTTTACAAATAAACTTCCTTCTCAGAAAGGGCTGTCCCACCCTGTCCCACCCAACCAAAGTCCCTTAATGCCCAGAACAAAACATTAAGCTAAGTGTGTATTCTCTGGTGGATTAATTTCAAAGTTGTGAATGTACAGCTTGTAGATTTGCAAAACTGGAGTAGTTTGCTTAATTCTCCCCAGAGAATATATCTCAGTTGACAATTTTACATACTCCCTGCCTCTCAGAAGAGTGTGAGCTAACCCAGCCTCAGACCTTTTCATTGTTTGGTGTAAGAGGGCTGAGCATATTGGTTCCTACTAATGCAAAGCTCCTGTTGCATTAGAAAAGAAAATTGCTTGAAATGGTGTGGGCAGACCTATGGATTTTGATAGTTGTGGAGTTTCTGCTAAAACTGCTATTTTTTTAAAAAACGGTCTAGTTATGGTGAGAAGTAGAAAATGCCTTTCTGTATATTTTGTAGTCCTGGTGTATTTCTGGCAAAACATTTTCAGTTCACACTTTTTGTTTCCATCATGCTCAGTTACCTGGGCTTGTGGTCCTCCAGGTCAGGTTCTCACTTTGATATCTTCAATAGAGGGTTTCTGCTTTCTCAAAGAAGCAGGTTATGTCCCACTAGACTACAGGAGAAAATACATGAATCCTACAGCCATACTAGAGGGGAATGTCCATGGGTCATTAAAAAATAGATGGCACATGTTCCCAGTATCCTCCTGTGTGGCTGGACTTCAGATTCAAAGCAGACTCAACACCTGCTGACCTACTAGATGGAGTTGATCCCCATGAGAGTATAAAAACCCTTGAGTCGCAATGGGAAAGGTTGCATCAGTTTTCTAAGGCATATGAAATTAGATCCTCAGCTGGTGTAAGTCAGCACAGATCCGTTGCTGTCAATAGAATTACAGTGGTTCACATTAGCTGAAGAGGCCCCCATTGTATTTTTTTAAAATTGATAATAGGATTTTCCACATTTGCCGAACTTTTCAAGCAGATGCACAGTTAAACACATATGCATATTCTTTGATGTGTCAGGGGTTTGCACTCAAACATTCATCTCTGACTCTTTGGGCTAGCTTGAATGTTACTGGTAAACATGTAGATTTAGAGGGCTAAAATGAAAGCCTTCAAGATGTTTTTGCCTAATTCTGACACTGATATACCGTGTTGTCAAGCAATTTTCTTTCTTTAATGGTAGTTTTAGTTCTTAACTACATGCTTCACCTGTGGGTGTGTTACTGCATAGCAGGGTCATCAAACTCCTAAGAGTTGGAAAGACTTCAAGACTAATGAATGACTGTGTCACTGAATTATCTCCTACTAATGAAAGGAGATGCTAATGTAGTACACATCCTGGGGCCCAAGGCTTCCTTCTCTTAAGTCAATGACAGTTAACTTTGTTTTCAGTAGGTAAGTGTTGGCATTGTTAGTCTTTGTATTTAAGGAAGTCATCAGGATCTCCAAGGTTTGGGTTTCTAATCTACCTTCATGCATAACAGAGACACAACGGCTTTCCAGAGATGCAGAGCTGGCCTTCAAAGGGATAAAATATTCGATTCCTTCTTTGATATGAAAAATTTCCTCTTAGTCTAGGGACTTCGTGGAGCATGTACCAAAACAAACACTAGTACTAAAACTTTAGGAACTTAAATGTAAGTTTTACTCTTGAAGTGTTTTAAAAGTTTTGCTTCTTGCAGATGTGATTGTCATGATAATGAATTTTGGTTACAGGGAGAATTTGCATGAAAGCTGGAGCTTGCATTGCATTTGCATCTTTTGTTCTTTAATACTGGAATGAGTATTACTACAGGAACATCATCAGTTGCTATAAGACTCCTACAAAACATGCAGCCTTTATCGATTCATTGCCTCTGTTTTTTTGCAAAGGGCTGTGGTAATGTTAAATGTTGTGATTTGCATTTGAATGCTCTGTTAAACAAGGTAAGGTACCCTTAAAAATAACAAAAGGACAGAATGATCCCTGCTATTCTTCTCAGAAGACTGATGCCATTGCAGAGCAACATCTCCCTATCATACCAATGTCACCTCATAATCATGTCTAATCTCAGTGCTTCTATACTTCTGGACCACTCATGAATTAACAAAGTTTGCACGGTAAAGTTTTATTGATACCTGTCTGAGGAGTGATGTGCAGACAAGTATTTTCTCAGTATCTCTGCTGTCTTCTGAAGGTCGCAGAACTTGGATCCTAAACAGATGGAAAGCTGCTAGTTACAGCTTTTATGCAGAGTATACAGTCATGAAGAAACAGAGAAAATGCCATTATTTCAGCACTTCCCATAAATCAGTGACACACCCAGGAGCAGGATCTATGTTAATATGGCTAGTGAGTGTGGAAAACTTTTAAATCATATGTTGTGCAGACTCTGTGTTGAAGAGTCTGGTGTAAACCTAGATGCAAGGGAAAGGAAGTGGGAAAGGTGAGCTGGAACCGGAGCTCATTGTTCAATATTAACCTGAACAATGCAGTAGAAGTTCTGAGGCTCAGACTAAGGGTGTCCTTTGGAAGGTACCAGATGCTCTGTAGTCTCAAGCACAGAGCAGGCATGGGCCACAGTTTACAAGTTTGCCACTTCTGCTGAGTTCCTATCAATACTTAATGCCATTAAGATTTCTGCTGCACTCACCTGACTACAAGCTCTGTATTGCCAAGATGCTTGCAATGTGTTAGATATGGACCTGCCAGCATTTCCATTACAAACCCCTAAATTTCAGGATTTATAACTAAGCCATTAAAATTTGCTCCAGGACAATACATGTATTGGAGCAAATTAAAACTTCATTTAAAATACATGTGATCAAAAATTTAAAAAAAATCATAATTTGTAATGACTACAATGTAAAAGGAAATGTAATAAGAAAAATCTTTGGTGCACATTAATTCCCAGTGGAACCACTCTTACTTTGTTTTAAATTCATTTCTGCAATTATTTTTCTTTTTTGTGTTTCATTTTCTGTGTCTCAAACAAACTGCATGCAGTTTACTAGGATTGTTCCTTTTCATCCTTTGTTTGACTGCTGTATTTACGGCTAGACTAATATCCATGGGGACAAAAATTGCTAAAGAAAGCTTAATTCACAAAAGGATGTATGAGTAAAAAAGTTTGTGCTAGCGCATAAAGTAAGCTTAGTTTTGTGTTTGATGGGATTTGATAACCTCAGGCTGATCTGCTTTGGCAAGGTAATAACAACAACAACAAATAAATCATGTTTATGTCGTGGCTGTGCCACTCATATTACACTGGAGTAGAGGCCAGTGCCCTGGACCACCTGGCTAACGGGGCTGTGTTCTCGGGTCTTGTCTTATATGCACATTTGTGCCACTTCTCTGGGAACAAAGCAATCTGCTCCTTACCATGTCAGAGCATGGATTTATGTTGTTCTGAAGGTTGCTGCATGCACACTCAGGTTTCTATCAAGTTATGCAAAGAATGGCTTTCTTAAGGGGGGTATCCATTGATAAACTCATTGCCATTAGTTCTGTGCTCCCATCGGAGAGCCTTTGTCTGGTGCTGCAGTTCACAAAACCTGCCTTGCTTGTATGATCCCTGGTGGATCATACAGTACCTCCTGTAATTTCAAGTAATTCCAGGGTTAGAAAGAAATCATCAGGTGCATGCTGGAAATGTTGCAGGAGTCCGCCCAGTGCCTTGTTGCTGCATTGTGATGAATGCCTGTGTGAAGGCTCGTTCTCAACTCTCCTCCATGAGACTCTGCTCCTCAGCTGACTGATGGACAAGCTGTCTGAGACCACGGCATGCCAAGTCCGTATGTCAGGCTGAGTGCTGCAGTGCTGGAGCAGAAAGCTGCCTGCTGCCATGCCCTGCCTGTGCAGCTGTGCTGCTTGCACTGGTGCAGTGCCCTCCTGCTGCCCCAGCACCGGGAGTGGCCAGCCTTCCTGAGCATTGCAGTAAAGTCATGAACTCCAGTCTGGTGAACTTCAGTAAATTACTTGCTTTAGCCATGGGACTAGTTCTGTTTGCCCTAAGAATGTGGGTATTTGCATGCTTACAATTAGGCAGTGGCTTTAGCACAGGCAGGCTACTTTGACTCTGTGTCCTGTTTTGCCCATGAACTGGTTTTCTTCTTAGGGTGCTTCCTTAAAGGCATTGTTTAAAAAAGCCCTTACTAACTTCACATAGCCCTCAGCTCAATGCCACTTGTTTTTTTCACTTAATTTGTACCATAGATATAATTAACTTTTTTTGCCTTAATTTCAGAAAGGTAGAGGGAATTTCTGTAAGGACTGAACTTGTAAAAGGCAAGACTGCACTTCACAGCATTGCTTGGAGAACATTAGGAAATTGTGATGCTGTATTCAAACCTGATTTATTTACTGTTTGGCTTGTGAATTTTGTTGAATGCTTTCCTCTTTTGGACATTTTGGCTCAAAACTGATGTTTTTAATGTTTTATTGAAACAATGCAGTTATTGTATAGGAGCTCTTTCAGTGTCTGACAACCAGGCACTTATTTTCAGTTTGATATGTTTTGTCTAGTTTTTGACCCATGAGCTTGTTCCAGTGTAATCTGATATTTCTTATTAACCTATTACTCT